AACTATATCACCAACTAAAACTAGGCTGCAGAACTTGGGGGATATGAAACAGGCTACTGAATACTGAGCCGCAGATGGATATGGAAATGAGACAAGAGCCTAATCTGATTGGATGACGTGTAAATCTGTAAGAGTTAGCGATACTGCCATGTGTGCACAATCTAAAGGATTCTTTCATTGTCACAACAGTGGATGGATGAAGTTCTTACCTCGATTACATTGAGGACCTCTGAATTCCAGCTTCAGACATTCTGCATGTTTGCTTGCTCACATTTGTGGCGATTCTCATGAGCGAACAACAACCCCTACACAGAGGAGCAATGGCTTTGCTCTTTTATGTAGCAAAGCCATTTGATTTTAAGATAAAGGGGTTTGAGTGGACTTAGAATAAAGTATGTGTTAATTAGGGATTCCCCATATTGCCTAATTATTGGTACTCGGCTTTTTCACTAATATCAGGCTGCTGGCATAGATGATGGCTTATAGACAAGAAGCTACTTTTAGCTGCTCCCTCATCACAGAGGATGGCCATAGTGATAGTTCCACATTTTTTGATTTGGCAGCGTTTTATGCCCAAAGGGCGTTTGTGTCTCTGGTTGGAATTGAAATGGCGACCTATTGACCTATCAAATGTGTTTGCTGTGAAACATTCATAAGAAAATCAAGACATTCTTACAGTCTACAAATCTTTAAAATAAGCTGAATGTCAAATAATCTAAGTGAAGGATGGATTGTAGTCCTTTTACTCTATTTATATCCAACAGTTTGAATCCCAAGCAGAAAACCCCTCCTAATTTTTATGGTACATGTAGCATATAAAACATATGTCAAACCAACACAGATGCAGAGTGGTGAAAGTTTATAAAGACGCTGCCATGCAGAGCAGTGGAGAATATGAAACCAATGCAATGCTCACCGCCGTCACTTTGCATTTGGGTTCAGGATGGCAGCTGTCAGGCTGACGCAAGAGTCGACATTGGAGAGACACTCTGTCAAAGATCGTTTGATTGTTAAAGGAATAATAGCGACTGCAGATGACGCCATAATATCATAACACACACTTATAGACATTAAAAAAAACAAAAACAAAAAACCTGCAGTGCATAATGATTCAGTCAGTATGTGACAGTGTTAACCAGATGCTAAAAACACACAAGTAAAGAGCTAATGACGTCAGCTAAATGTAAAACCTCAAACTGTGTCAGGATGTCAGGACTTTGGATGCATATTGCAGATTTAAAGTCAGAAGCATGGCTCAGGTGTCTTTCTTTTTGTGTTTGTTTGATGAAGGTTTCCACCGTTTGCAATTTCTGTTCAGTTTCTCAATAACTATCACTGCCTGTTATGCTCTGTGTGCACGTCATAACTGCATTATGCTGTCACACTCGGCACAACAAGGTACAAAAGTTGAAAATTAGCAAAAGGTTAAATGTGCAGCACATCTATTGAATGTTCTGCACAGGAATTAAGAAAAATAGTGCTAACTAACAGTTAATGTAGCTATCTTAGCAAAGCATTGACATTGATATATTGCTTACAGAGGCCACTATTTACTGCTTTGCACTAAATCCTTCAGTAGAGTCATGCTTTACTTACTTTTTTAAATTTAAATTTAAATTGCATTTAACAAAGTCAATCAACTCTTATCAGTACATAAGACTTCCCCGTGATTTTAGCCAGGTAATGCCGACATATAACTTTGGAAAGCCAACGTTAAAGGGAGCGCCACGTTCTGAGATTTCTACTCTTTATTGTATACCATCACAGACTCGTAGTGGTACTTAATAATGGGAATGCAGGATTTCTCCCTTTCTCCCCTTTGCAAGCTCATCTTCAACCTCCACCTCCTCGCTCCAGCATTCGCTCCGCACAATTGCCTCAGTTGATGGGATTGGACCTCAGGCGCCTGCCCCCATTCTTCAGACACCCTCCATCCCTCCATCGTTCACTCCCACCATTCGCACCATCCCCCGGCTGTCATTCCAGACCTCATCGCTCACTCCATGGAGACTTTACCATCAGGAGCCAATAAGGAGCTTCACACACACACACACAGACGTAGAAAAACACATTGAAGGTGACAGTGACTGTTTCAATCGGTAGCTGGAAAGAAGCCTCTGGTCATGTCTAAACTAATGCAGATAAATTAAACAATAAAATGTATCTGTCCAAACATCAGATCCTTTTCCTTTGGACACACAGTACAAACGTGAAATCTTTCACATTCTTCTTTTGCCCATTTCACTGCAGCTCTGTGTTTTTTCTGCAGTTGCTTGAAGAGTAGCTGTATGTCATTCTCTCATGGTATCATGGGAGAAGTAGCATTTTTAAATGTTACGCTTGAATAACTCATGAGAGTCATTTTTAGTCATTATAATTATATAATAATTTATAAATAAGTCATTATAAATTCAGAAGACACAAAACGACACAGTATGTGTGTGCACGTGATTTATTCCAGTGCCATATTCCCTCTGCTCCTAGTGCTGCTTTTTGACTTTACTGAATCCTGAGGGGGGAACAAACTTCTCTATATCTGGTAGTGCTACATTATATTTATCATCTAATTTAGAACTTTTTCAGTTGCCCTTTGACCCTTTAAGCATAATTTATACAACTATGTTGAATCCCTGCATCGTTGTCTACGTATGCCCTCTTGTGTCTGCGCTGCTCGGCCATCATAAGTGAAACTGAGCTGCTGATGTTGGCACTAATACACTTTGAAGTTAGTTGTTACTTTTACTGAAAAGCAGTATACTGTCCATGGCTAGTAAAAGAAAAAACATGGTGTAATAATTAAACTAGATTCTGTACAATTACAACCTATTCGATTTTTTTTC